GGCGGGAAAGAATTATCCCAAAATCCCCTAAAATTTGGATTGCTCAGTTTCCCACCTGGTTCTGGAAGCCCATGGCCGGGACGTTGCACCTGACGGCAGCRTCCTCCTCGTGGTTGCAGCCCTGGGACTCGGTGTTGAATTTGCAGTCCGTGATCGACTTCTCAAAACCCGTGCAGTCGATCTCGTTCAGGTGGATGGGACCCATTCCTTGGGGAAAAAAAAAACAGGGAAAAGAATCCTTGTGGGTGGTGAGGGAATATCCCCCAGAAGGTTGGGAACGGTGACGTTCAGCGTTCAGAATGTGGTCAACTTGAAAAAAAAAAAAAATCTGGTTGTTTCTTGTAAAAATAAAAGAAAAAGCCATGAGGATAATGTTAATAATTTCACAGTTAAATTCCTTTCTCACAATTTCCCCCATTCCTATATTCCCAAAATTTCCGCCATTCCTATATTCTCACAATTTTTCCCATTTCTTTATTCCCAATTTTTTTCCCATCCCTTTATTCTCACAATTTCTCCTATTCCTTTTATCCTCACAATTTCTCCTATTCCTTTTATCCTCACAATTGTCCCCATCCCTTTATCCTCACAATTTCCCCATTTCTTCATTCTTACAATTTCCTCCATCCCTTTATTCCCAAATTTTTCCCCATCCCTTGATTCTCACGATTTTCCCCATCCCTTTATCCTCACAATTTCCCCATTTCTTTATTCCCAAAATTTCTCCCATCCCTTTATTCTCATAATTTCCCCTACTCCTTTTATCCTCACAATTTCCCCCTTTCTTCAGTCTCACAATTTCCCCATTTCTTCATTCTCACAGTTTCCCCATTTCTTTATTCCCAAAATTTCCCCCATTTCTTTATCCTCACAACAAAATTTTGGCCCCATTTTATTTATTTATTTTTTTAAAAATTTTTTTTTCCCTACGGGAACAAGCTGTGGGAACCACCAGGTGCTTCCAGCTCGCCTTGGAGTTACCATTTCCCTCATTTTTGGGATTTCAACCAAGTCCCAAAGGCAGGAAATCCAAAACCCCAAACCTGGCTCCGAGCTGTTCAAAACGCCCTTCTATTTATAACGGGATAAATTCACCRTCCTGACCTTAAATTGGAGGGTTGGAAGTCTGGCCCCAAGAGTCCTTTTTTGCCAGGAACCTTCTAGTAATGCATTACAGCACCGTGCAGCTCAAAGGGAATTTCAGAGCAGCAGATGAGATAATTAGGAATTAATTACTGGAACAGCTGCCTGAGCGAAAGGTCAGACTCATCATCGCCATGTGTTTTTCAAGGAATGTTTTTAAGTCACGGAATTCTTGTCCGGCCTCAAGTTTTTCAAGAGTTTTGTCGAGGTTGATGCCTTTGGGATTTTTAATTTTTGTATTTGCATCTGTAATAAATTTTTGTATTTTCATTTTGTTTAATTTTCGTCTGTATTCTTGTAGTTCTCTTGTACAGCACTAAAACTCCCGTTCTCATATTTTTGGATAAAACAATTCCTCTCTGAGCCTGATCCAAGGACACCTCAGAGCCCCAAAATATGGAAAAGCAGAGAATTGGGGGGAGCGAGTTTGGGGTGGGTGACATCATCACCTGAAAAAATCATTGGACAATTAACACCCAATATGTTAATGAGGCAGAACTGATAAAAGGTGAAGATCTCGTGACTCGGGGTCCATTTTGGGTGACAAATCCATTTTGGATTTGTCTGCCCTGATGTACCAGGAGACCTGTTAGGCCTGGATTAAAATTGTTTGTTCTCATTTTATTAAATTTGTCTGGGCTCTATTTCAGATCATTCTGATTGATAAAGCACCAAGGTGAGGGAAGAAACTCTTGGCGCCCAAATGGAACATCCCAATGAAAACCTTGTGCTGACGGGATGCTCCTGGAACATTCCAGAATGGCGGAGAATTCCATTGAGAATTCCATAGCTCACCTTGGCCCAGCCTGGCGCCCGTGATGGCCTCCTTGGCGCTGCCGAAGCCCAGCTCGCGGCACACCACGCTGGCCGACACCAGGTTCCAGTTRTCRTCGCACACCGTGCCCCACTCGCCGTTCTTGAGCACCTCCACGCGGCCCTCGCCCGTGTTGGCCCCGCCCTTCAGCCGCACCAGGGGCTGCTGGAGAGGGGGACACGGGAATGGGGTCAGCGGGGTCAGCGGGGTCATGGCTACCCCAAAATGGGAATTCTGTCATTAGCAGGGGTTATTTATGGGGACAGACACGGGAATGGGGTCAGCGGGGTCACGGCTGTCCCAAAAGGGAAATTCATGGAGAGGGACGGGAAAATGGAGTCATGGCGGCCCCAAAATGGGAGTTCATGGAGATGGACGCGGGAATGGGGTCAGTGGGGTCATGGCTGCCCCAAAATGGGAATTCTGTCATTAGCAGGGGTTATTTATGGAGTTGGACACGGGAATGGGGTCAGCGGGGTCACGGCTGCCCCAAAATGGGAATTCATGCTAATGGACACGGGAATGGGGTCAACGGAGTCATGGCTGTCCCAAAACAGGAGTTCATGGAGATGGACACGGGAATGGGGTCATGGCGGCCCCAAAATGGGAATTCTGTCCTTGGCTGGGGTTATTTATGGGGACAGACACGGGAATGGGGTCAGCAGGGTCATGGCTGTCTGGGAACAGGAATTACAGAGACAAACACAGGAATGGGGTCAGCGGGGTCACGACTGCCCCAAAACAGGAATTCCCAGACACAAACACCCGAATGGGGTCAGTGGGGTCACGGCTGCCCCAAAACGGGAATTCATGGAGAGGGATGTGGGAATCGGGTCAGCAGGGTCATGGCTGCCCCAAAATGGGAATTCATGGAGATGGGCACAGGAATGGGGTCAGTAGGGTCACGGCTGTCCGGGAACAGGAATTCATGGGGACAGACACGGGAATGGAGTCAGTGGGGTCACGGCTGCCCCAAAATGGGAATTCACAATGACAGATGTGGGAATGGGGTCAGCGAGGTCATGCCTTCCCCAGAATGGGAATTCATGGAGATGGGCACAGGAATGGGGTCAGCGGGGTCACGACTGCCCCAAAACAGGAATTCCCAGAGACAAACACAGGAATGGGGTCAGTGGGGTCACTGCTGTCCAGGAATGGGAATTCATGGAGATGGGCACAGGAATGGGGTCAGCGGGGTCACGACTGCCCCAAAACAGTAATTCCCACAGACAAACACCCAAATGGGATCAGCGGGATCCCTGTCCATCTCCCCGCTCACCTCCTGCCTGAAGGCCTTGCGGAAGCCGCTGTGGCTGCTGGGGGCGAAGGCGCGGCCGGGCACGCAGCTGACCACGGCCGGCATCCCGTTGGCGCAGGTGCCGTTCTTGCCCGGCTCGCCCGGCGCGGCGCTGCCCAGTTTGCAGCCGGACACGTGCGCCTCGTTSCCGCTGCAGTCCATGGAGTACGGCCAGTAGTGCTGCTTCCTCCTGCTGGCGAACATCCTGCAGGGAA